TGCACGATATTTGCACCGAAACAATGTTAGCAATAAAAAACTTGGGCATCAACACCGAAACATGGGATGCACTAATTTGTCATATTTTAACGAAAAAGTTACACGACGATACGGTAAAACACTACGAGTGTCAACTACGCAACGTTCGCGAAACTCCGAATTTGCAAGAATTTCTGGCATATTTAGAAAACAGGTATTTGGCCATTCAATCTGTTGAACAAAAAAATTACACTCAAAATTTTTCCAACAAAAAAGATAAAAAAGAAAAAGTGATTGAAAAATTCGAAAAATTTGAAAAAATCGCGAAGTGTCTATCATGTGACGAGGCTCACAGCCTTCGTGTATGTGGTGTATCGGTAATGAAAAGATGCGAGTGAATTGAATGCTATGACAAGAATGAATGCTCTTTATTGAATTACTTATAGCTAAACATGCGAATGTAGAAATGTCAAAGTGAACCATTTCAATGAGTCAATCGTTTCATACGTGCAACTATGAACTGTCAACTTTATTCATATTCAACATCTCCCTTCTCAAGATAGTTGCACGGAATTCATACTTTTCATTTGTTATTTACATTGTTTTAGATTGATGATCTTATTTACATGTTTGGAATACTAAAGTGTAAAATAAAAAGGTATAGAATTTGTAATATGTTTTGAATGAATACGATTCGATTGAAATGTGATAACATTTATGTGCAAAGCTTGTATCGAAGAAGCTAGCGATTCCGATTCGGTTGCAATTGTTTTGTGATTTGTTCAGCTGCCTTCTTCGAACAGGCTCGTTGCGGTTGCCGCACTTGCGGCTCAGGTATGGGCATGGGAAAGCCATCGATCAGTGTGTTATCAGCCATAGTGACTGAATCATTTGAACTATTCGCTGTGTCGAACGACTCCTCTCCCCCACCAGATGCTTCATGCTCGTTTTCAGAGGTCTCTTCATCTTCGCTGGATGCTCCAGTTTGTTCATCATCTACGATATCAGTCGGCTCGACTTCATCGTTTTGCTCTAACGTTGCACTTGTTTCCGATGCACCATCATCATTCACTGCTCCGCGGATTTGATTTAAGTGACGTTTGATGTCACGATTTTCTCGTATGAGCAAACAAGTGTAATTGCGAGGACCGATCTTGTGCTTAACAATTGCTGGTGACCAACTAGGTTTATTTGGATTCTTGTAATTTCGGACATAAACTTGCTGTCCCTTTGAAAATTCGACGTTACGTTTGCCTTTGTAATTCTTTATTGCCGTTTGATTTTTTTGTATGATGGTTTCACGAATAAGCGGTGGTTTCATCAAACTAAATCGCGATTTCGCTTCTCTACCAAACATTATTTTCGAAGGTGATTGATTTGTCGTACAGTGTTTAGTGATGCGATAGTCGAACAAAAATTTGTTCAGTACTTCATCCATATCGATGTTCTTGTGCTTGTTAATATTCGCAACAATCGACTTTTTGAGCGTTTTGACAAAATTTTCAGCTTGGCCATTAGTGGACGGATTGCCCGGTGCTGTGAAAATGTGATTTATGCCATTTTGTTTGACGAACTCTTGAAATTCGGCAGAAGTGAATTGCCATCCGTTATCGCTGACAATGATGTCAACTAAACCATAACGGCAGAATGTTTCCCTCAACTTGGCGATCACAAAAGCTGATGTGATGTCTTTCGTTTTAAACACTTCGACCCATTTAGAAAAAGAATCAATCACAATGAATAACATGAATCCCTTAATTGGACCTGCAAAATCGATATGAATTCTTTTCCAAGCAGAATCTGTTGGAGTCCATGGAATTAGTGAACTCTTCTCTGGATTTGGTTGTGTCAATTGACACGGTTCACATGACTTAATCATGAATTCAATGTCTTTATCGATATTCGGCCAATAGACGTATGAGCGCGCGAGTGACTTTGTTTTCACAATTCCCAAGTGAGACATGTGAAGAGCTTCCAAGACAGCTTTTTGTAATTTACTTGGAATTATCGTGCGATATCCCCAAAGAACACCTCCACTTTCAACTGATAGCTCAAGTGCCTTTGATCGATATGCCTTAAAGTCATCGCCTTGCAAATTATTGAGTGTGCCATTTTGAACGGAATCCATTATTTTCGATAGAATTGGATCACGGCGTGTATGCAACGCAATAGTTTTGTAGTCAATTTGTGTGATGTTGACAAAACCGACATAATTTATGTATGAAGCCTCTTCATGGATTGTGGTGGTTTCAAATTGTCGCAAACGTGACAAGCTGTCAGACGTATTTAGTGCGCCCTTGACATACTCAATTGAGTAATTGAAACCTGAAAGAAGAAGAGCCCATCTCTGAATTCGAGCGGCTGCCATCACTGGAATACCTTTATTCTCTCCAAATATTGTGACTAATGGTTTATGGTCCGTTCGAAGAATAAATTTATTGCCTAACAAGTATTGCCGCAATTTCGTCACACTAAAAATAATAGCAAGTGCTTCTTTTTCAAACGTACTATAATTCTTCTCGGCGTTATTTAATGCACGTGAGACAAATGCAACCGGTCTATCAGATCCATCTTCAAATATGTGAGATAAACGACCTGCGACAGCAGTACCACATGCGTCTGTCGTAAGAATTATTGGCTTATTTGCATCAAAATGAGCTAAAATGGTATCTGAACAAATTTCCTTCTTCATCGATTCGAATGCTTCTTGACAAGCTCTTGTCCAAACGTAATCAACATCCTTTTTTAGCAAATCATATAGTGGTATCATACGCTGAGCAAAATTCGGAATAAATTTCGAATGATGATTAACCATGCCGATGAATGCTCGTAGTTCAGAAACGTTTGTGGGTTGCGGCGAATCAATGACACTTTTTGTCCTTTCTTGATTCTTACTAAGGCCATTTTTATCCACATCAAAACCTAAGTATGAGATTTTGCTCTGAAAGAATTTGCATTTACCGACGTTCAGTCGTAGACCAGCTTCTTGAAGTTTAGTCAGCACTTTCCGTAGCGTGCTCAAATGACCAGCAAAATTATTTCCTGTGACTACTATATCATCTTGAAAACAAAAAACATTGGCAAACTGAGAAAGAAGCGACTCCATTGTCTTTTGAAAAATTGAAGCGGCTATCTTCACGCCAAATGGAAGTCTTTTCATGCGAAACAATCCTTTATGTGTGCTGAGAGTGCACAACTTTTGCGCATCATCATCCAGAACAAGTTGATTGTAGGCGCCAGATAAATCGAGTTTGGTGAACAATTGTCCTCCTTGCATTGAAGCGAAGATCTCCTCAATACGCGGTAGTGGATACCGAAAGTCTTTAAGGAATCGATTTATCGTTGACTTATAATCGCCACATATTCTGATTTCACCATCAGATTTTGGAATGGGTACAATTGGCGTACCCCAATCTGAGTCATTTACAGGTGTGATGATGTCTTGTTCGACTAACTGTTGTAACTGTTGCTCAATTTTCTCACGAAATGCCATCGGTATGGGTCTGGCCTTACAAAAAATTGGCGTGGCATCATTGATTAATGGAAGCTTGATAACAGTTGTGTTGCATTTCCCTAAACCACTTTTGAAAATTTCAGAAAAATCACTTTTGATTTGCGAGATGATCTCATCGTATGAATCTACAAAATTTACAGAATTGTTCGATTGCACTAGATCAAATTCAAATTTTCTCAAGAAATCACGGCCTATTAACGTTGGTCTATAATAATTGGTCACAACAATTCTTCCACACTCGATCCGTCCATGCAAATTAACACAAGCTTTGAACTCACCCAAAATATTTAATTGGTCACCTCCGTAGCCCGTGAATGGTTCTGTGCATGGTCGCAATATGCTTCGATCGAACAGTGAATTGAAGACCTGGATAGACATGAGAGAGCACGGAGCACCGGTATCACAGTTACATGTGTGGTCAATCCCATTAATGCCAACCGTTAGCCTGTACGGCAAATCCGCTCCGTTCCCGATCGAATACACGTGATTCTTGCGTTCATCGAAATCACCAACTTCTCCGTGGTTAATGCTGTATACGGAATTCAAAAAATTATTAGCATCACGATAATTGTAATCATTTTGAATATATTGAATGGAATTATTGTTTTTCTTAGCCTTGTTGGAGCAAATATTCGCTAAATGTCCAATAACCCCACATTTATGGCAAGCCTTGTCCTTAAAACGACATTGATTCGATGCATGATTTTTGCGTCCACAGTGTGTACACTTCCCGTTATTTGCCTTTGTCCCGTTGCTGTTGTTGTTGTTCTTCGGTGTCTTCTGCTTGTGGCCTCCACCACGTGGTTTCACATAGTCAACCTCATTGCTCCATGCGGTCGCTCCATTTTGTTGGTTAAGTTTGGTTTCACGTAGCATAGCCTTTTTGAGTGCATCACTTGATGATAATTTGCCATCTTCTTCGCACAACTTCTCAAATATCCTTGGTGGCAATTCGCAAACAAATTTGTCTACTACGAAATTGTCCAAATTTGCGTCGAAGCTGCAGTCGATTGCAAGTTTTTTCACTCTGGCAAACCATGATGCAACAGTCTCACCTTGTGCCATTTTTGCTGCGTAGAAATTTTTTCTTTCTTGAAACACAATTTTCGGTGGCGTGTATTGTTGCTTCAGAAGGGCAATTAAATCATCGTACGATTTCTTTGCCGGTACCGTTGGACTGCACAAGCTGTGAACAACACCATATGCTTCCGAGCCGATTGATTTCAACAACGTGGAAATTTTCACCGTATCCGATTCGCAGCCAATCTCCAATAAATGCATTTCGAAGCGTTCGTGCCATAATGTCCAATTTTCGGTCACTTGAAACTCCGGCATTGACGATGCTTGCACGATTTGAGTTGTCGACTTAGCTACTGATTCTAGTCCCATTTCGCTCTTATTTCTTTGATATTAAATACTTTGATAAAAAAAATGTGCGTAAAATTTACTGCGCTATGAAAATTTAATTTGAAATTTTCCTAAGTTCTTTTTTCCTTTGTCGCCAATCATGTGGTGTATCGGTAATGAAAAGATGCGAGTGAATTGAATGCTATGACAAGAATGAATGCTCTTTATTGAATTACTTATAGCTAAACATGCGAATGTAGAAATGTCAAAGTGAACCATTTCAATGAGTCAATCGTTTCATACGTGCAACTATGAACTGTCAACTTTATTCATATTCAACAGTGTATGTCAGAAATTTTTGGCAAAAAGCGTGAACGAACGAAGTCAATTTATAAGATCTAAGGGCATTTGTGCAAATTGTTTATCTGGTTCACATAGCAAAGTCATTGAATGTAAAAGTAAATTTACTTGTAAAACGTGTAACAAAAAACATCATTCATTACTGCATTTCGATTCAGTTAAATCAAATGTTGCGAAAATTTCGGACTATCAAGCATCGAACGATGAACACGAAAATGATAATTCAGTAGTATCAGCAAATTCTTCAGCATCGAATTCGCGTGTATTATTAGCTACGGCATTAATTAGCGTGAAAGGTAAAAATAACGAAAAATATGCACTTCGTGCTCTGATCGATCAAGGATCGCAGAGCGCGTTCATCACCGAATCAGCAATGCAATTGCTCAAACTAAAAAGAATAAAACAAAAAACTTGTGTAAGTGGAATAACAAAAGAAAATCAGGTGTGCAATTACATTGTTGACTTGCACATTTCGCCTCGATTCACTTCAAATTTTGTTTTGAATACAACTGCAATTGTATTAAAAAGTTTGGTAAATTTATCACGAAATGAAATTGTTTTTAACAAATCATTCTCACATTTGAACAATCTTCATTTCGCTGATCCTTCATACATTGAAGCTGGTCCGATAGACATTCTTCTCGGCGCAGCTGAATACGCACAAATCATAAAACCGGGTCTCATAAAAGGTTCTACAGACGAACCGATCGCCCAAAACTCTGAATTGGGTTGGATCATTTCGGGACCAACCAATTTTGATTCAGCCGTGGGAGCACAAGTAACAACGCTCATTTCAGTTGTCGACGTCGAACAACGTATATCTGAATTTTTCAAGCATGATGATATAAAAATCGACGATGACGAGTGTGCTCTCACTGAAGAAGAACAAATGTGTGAAAACCACTTTCAAGAAAACACTATTCGTTTGGAAAATGGAAGATATTGTGTCAAAATGCCATTCAAAAATGGAAAAAATGCACCAGATTTAGGAAACTCGCGAAAATGCGCCATTGCAACATTTTTGCAGTTGGAAAATCGATTCAAAAAAAATCCTAAATTGGCAGAAGAATATAAAAAATTCATTCACGAGTACATTGACCTAGGTCATATGGAACGATCGGTTTACAATCCAAATATCACATCGTATTATTTACCACATCATTGTGTAATACGAGATAGCACAACTACGAAACTTCGGGTAGTGTTCAATGGCTCTCAAAAAACTGACAACGGAAAATCTCTCAATGATGAACTTGCATTGGGTGCCATAGAACAAAAGGACATGTTAAGCATTCTAATCAATTTTCGCATTTACAAATATGCATTTACGGCTGACATTGAGAAAATGTACCGCCAAATTTTAATCGACGAAAGCCAAAGAGACTTGCAAAAAATCATTTGGCGTGATTCCCCTGAACTACCGCTTTCTGAATTTAGACTTATCACGGTCACATACGGCACCAGTCTCGCTCCGTTTTTATCACATCGCACTACAAGACAACTTGCAATCGATTGCGAAAATGAATATCCAGAAGTATCAAATACCATAAGAAAAAACATGTGGGTTGACGATGTGGTAAAAGGTGCTTTTACTGAGGCAGAAGCAATACAATTGTGTAGCGACTTGCGCAAGGTATTCAGCAAAGCCGGATTCAATTTACGAAAATGGTCTTCAAACAACGTAAATGTGCTGTCCGCAATTCCGGAGAGTGATCGTGAATTGAAGGCTATAAGCAGCAACGTGAAAGCGTTGGGCATAAAATGGTCGCCGTCTCAAGATGTTTTCACATACGAACTCAGTTTAAAAAATCATTCAAATCCATTTACAAAAAGATTGCTACTATCTGAAATCTCTTCAATGTTCGATCCACTTGGCTGGATATGTCCAGTAGTAATTTCAGCGAAAATTTTGGTACAAAAGTTGTGGGAGAAAAACGTCGATTGGGATGAAATTGTACCGAAAGAAATCGCTGAAAAATGGTTGGAAATAAAAAGCGAATTGCATCTCATTAATGACATCAGAGTGGAACGTTGGATAAATTACAATCCTGAGGATGTCATGGAGTTGCATGGTTTCGGTGACGCAGCGGAACCAGCATTCGCAGCTGTGATTTACATTAAAAACGTCACGCAAAACACGGTGCGATTATTAATCGCAAAAAATAAAGTAGCTCCTCTGAAAATAACGAAAGACGCACTCACAATACCGAGATTGGAATTGTGTGCAGCAAATTTACTTGCCAAATTGACGAAAGGCGTTTTAAAAGCAACAAACATAAATTTCAGCAAAATTTTTCTTTGGTCCGATTCAAAAATAGTCATCGATTGGATTCGAGGAAATCCGAAGCGATACAAAAAGTTTATCGCACACCGTGTTTGTGCAATAGATAAGGCAATTGGAACAAAAAACTGGTATCATGTTACCACTGACAAAAATGCAGCAGACTGCGCTTCACGCGGCATGTTGCCATCGGAATTGCTGAGACATGAAATGTGGTGGAATGGCCCACAGTTTTTGCGTGAAAACAATTACTATGCAAACAATGCAAGTCATTTAAATAACGTTGACCCAATAATTGAATCACTCGCATTAAGTGTAGAAATCTCTCCAATTTCAAACGAACAAATTCTTCCTGAAGTCTCGTCGTTCAACAAAATGAAACGAATAATCGCATACTGTTTTCGTTTTGCATTGTCTCCGATTTCGGCTGATGAGCTAAATTTAGCGGAAACAGCAATAATAAAAATCATTCAACGGGAGGCATTTGGTGCCGAAATAAGTGAATTAATGAAGAAAAGATCAGTAAATTTTTCAAGTAACATTCTGAAACTAAGCCCATTCTTAGATGAAAATAACATTCTGCGCGTAGGTGGCAGACTACGAAATTCGGATTTGGTGTTTGGACGAAAACATCAAATCTTAATACCAAAAAACAATAGCGTAACAACTTTAATAATTCGTCATTTTCATTTATTATGCATGCACGGTGGAGCGAAAGCCACTGAAGCAATCATCAAACAGTGCCGGTATTCTACAACTTTCCGACAAAATCGTTCGGAATTATTTTTTTCGTACATAAGACCATATTGGAGTGAAAGAGAGAGATTCCACTTTTTTTCAGCATTCCACCGGAATTATTTCGATAACTCAAGGAAGAGTGGATTGTGTGAGAAAGAATTCCGGTGGAATGCTGAAAAATAGTGGAATCTCTCTCTTTCACTCCAATATGGTCTTATGTACGAAAAAAATAATTCCGAACGATTTTGTCGGAAAGTCGTAGAATACCGGCACAGCAGTTTTGGATTGTGAATGCACAAACAGAAATAAAGAAAATTTTGCATCGTTGCATTCCTTGCTTCAAACAAAGACAAAAAACCATGTCACAATTAATGGCAGATTTGCCGGCCAATCGCGTAAACATTGTTGAAAAGCCATTCACCAACGTAGCAGTAGACTACACCGGTGCAATTCCATACAAAACGGCAAAAGGTAGGGCTGGTAAAATTTCTAAGGCTTACATTTCAATATTTGTCTGTATGGCTACAAAGGCACTTCATATCGAACTAGTATCAGATTTAACAGCCGACGCGTTCATAGCTGCCGTTCGCAGATTGGTAGCGCGTCGTGGAATGATCAAGAGCTTCAACAGTGACAATGGCACAAACTTTGTAAAAGCTAATAAAGATCTAAGTGATTTATTTGAAATCGAAAAAGAAGAGTTCAAAACAATCTGCGATGAACTTTCAAAGCAAGGCATTTCTTGGGATTTCTCACCCGCTGGTGCGCCTCATTTCAATGGCCTCGCCGAGGCTGGTGTGAAAGTTGCAAAGACTCATTTAATAAAAACAATCGGAAAAACTGCGCTAACATTTGAAGAATTGTCCACATTATTGTATCAGGTGGAAGCATGTGCAAATTCAAGACCACTTTGTGCACTATCTACTGACCCTGATGACATCGATTGCCTAACACCTGGACATTTCTTGATTGGGGCACCGTTACTGGCACCACCCGACGAAAGCTACATCGAAACGAACGTAAACTGGCTTTCACGTTGGCAATTGGTGCAAAAAATGAGTCAAAACATTTGGAAAAAATTTCAAACGGAATATCTAAATGAATTGCAAACCAAATCAAAATGGTTTACGAAAAAAGAAGAGCCAAAATTGAATGAATTAGTTTTGGTAAAAGATGAGAATTCACCACCATGCTCTTGGCCAATGGCGCGCGTAATCGACGTGCACAAGGGTCATGACGCACTCACGAGAGTGGTAACACTTAAAATGCGCAATAACACTTTCACTCGACCGATAACCAAAATCGCTCCGTTGCCGATTGAATACGATGCGGAGACCCGGGCAACAATTAAAGCACACATTGCAAAAACTGAAACAGCGAGTAAAGCACGGGTTACAAAATCCAAACCGGCAAAACAAACATTTAATGTCATTCCGATAATAACGGCATTGCTTGCAATTTTTGTGATTCAAGTGAATGCTCACCCAAATCAAATCGTTCCGTTCAAATTGAATAAATTTGACACCTCGCCGGGTTTGTTTTTCGAACAAATTTCGCATGCAAAGTTCAGTTACACCAATTGGAACTCGATTGTTTATGTAAACATGAAATCATTTCTCAACGAAGCATCGATGATGGAAAGAAGTTTACATGATTTAGAAAACGTATGCAATCAAAAACTGGCGGGGCAAAGCTCATGCAAATCTCTTTGTCAACTAATTGAAAATCGTATCAACGACATCAATGAACGAAATGAGTTAATAGTATCGTTTAAGCATCATCGAGCAGAAAGAGCGTTACTTGACATTGTTGGAAACATTGCTGGCGATTTATTTGGAGTTTTAGACTCTCGATTCGGACGAGAATACGTTCTCGATATGTCAAGATTGGAATCAAATGACGAAAATTTGCTCACTCTTTTGAAAAACCACACTTCTGTTTTAAATTCCACTATGAATATAATCAAAAAAGATGAGCGGGAAATCATAAATCAGAGAGAAAGCATAATAAATCTAGCAGGTTTGGTAAGTGTTCAAACCAATGACCAGCAAGCAGTTTTGCATTTTCATACTATGTCTGTGTATCTTTTACAAATGATCTCTGATTATGAGCATCAACAAGATAGCATGTTGGACATACTTACTGGCGCTAGAAAAAATCATATCGATCATCATCTAATAACTCCTGCTCAAGTAAAGGGTCAATTAAATATAATGAGTGAATATTTATCAGACCAACAGGCACCTCCGGATGGAACCGATTTCTACAAATTGGCAACCATCACTCCGTTTGTCACAAATAAGACACTATTTTTTCGAATTGCCATTCCATTGATAAGCGACGAAAGGTTTCAATTGTATCATATGTATGAAACGCCATTTGTATATATCGCCATAAACTCTGAAAATAAATGCTAAATTCGAAGTCATTATCGCGTCATTAAATCGGCAAAAATATCAATTGATTAGAAACAAGCATGAACTGAAATGCAAAAAACAGTCAGATGACATGGTCATCTGCTTCGAGCCCCGCAAGTGGCTAACCAGCCAATTCAAATCTTGTGTGTGGTCTCTCTTTAATCATGAAGCCAACTCGAATTGCGAGTTATCCAAGGTAAATTTGCGTTACCAATGGTTAGAACTCGAAGAGCCGAACAATTGGTTATTTTTCTGTAAGCATGTGGAAAAGTTCATATCTATTTGCGGCGATAGTGTAAATCACCACAGCGCTATTGGCTCTGGAACCCTAAAATTGAACGACAATTGCGTACTTCGGGGTGATAATTTTGAATTAATGCCCCAAAAGAGTTTAGAGCGCGCGCCACATGATTTCATTATTCCGAATTTCCAATTCAATCTCACTTCGTACGAGCCATTCATTTCAAACGGAACAACGAATTTGATCGAATTTGCCAAAACTAATTTGACTAAACTACAAAATCAGTTAAAATTCATCGAAAATCAATCTAAATTAAAGGAAAAAATCGACATTCATGACATTCATAACTATTCAGTAAACTATTTCACTCTGTTCATCGTTGTATGCTTGATATTCTACGTTGTAAATTTCATCAGGGGTAATAGACGAATCAGATTACCACGTGCAATTTCGATGCCAAATCTATCTGAAGATTTGACTCGCCGTTTAGAGCACCGCCAGTCACGCTAAAGGTGGCCCGGAGAATGTCTATTGACATAATTTTGAATTAACTGGAATCGAACAATAATGAA